TTTTCAATTTATTCAGCCACTGACACATGCTACAATCCTACCATCTCCATCCGCACACCCATCATGGCTTGAGTCAGTCCCACTTTCTTCTTCTTTATAATTCTAGTCTTTAAGGATGTGAGTGAAAAAGAATATTATGGGTTGAATAACTGTCTACACTTTGCTTAAAAGCTTTGAGTAGTGACCATTTTTAAATATATGTTTATAATGATTTGGGGAAATGGCAAAATAACTTGTTTAGTACTCTCGTAGGTGTCACAGTATTGCAAATAGACTGAAATGAACAGGGAGCAATGGAAATTGTTTTCAAGGCAGGACAGTCATTTAGACATTGCAACGGTGAAACACTAATTTCTAATTATAGTCCCTGTAGTTTGGGGTGGGGTGTAGACATAGTCCCATTATGTCAGTGTTAATTGAAACCATGAAAATGCAACTCTCTTTGGCATAGGAGCTATTAATTTTCATGGTGCATGTAACCACTTGTGCATTTCTGAAAGACCACAACAGAGTTCACCCTTCCAGGCAAAACTGCAGCTATAAGCAGGTAAATAAGAAATGTATCACGAACCATGACAAGTAAAGATGGAATAAGTAATACAAGGATGTGTAGCACGAGGGTATTCTTGAACCATCTGTTAGTAATTAAGGGGGCTTTTGTGAAGTTTGAATTGTAAAGCTCAACGGAGTGAGCTGAAATCACTGGATGTTTGGTCCCAGCAAAACTGAAAGTGAGGCAAGTATACTTCAACAACGAAGTGTCTTTCTCTTGAAGCCAGTCAAGCTTGCTGGTGCTAATGGCCTTTCAAAGGCTTAGTGATAATCAAATCATTGCTCAACTTATAACTGCAACCCTTTTGTTGCAAAAGTAAACTAAAAAAGCAAGACATCCACTCATAAAGAGAACGTGGCGGCCGGATGTGGTGGCTCACGCCTGTAATCCTAGCACTTTGGGAGGCCGAGGTGGGTGGATTGTTTGAGCTCAGGAGTTCAAGACCAGCCTGAGCAAGAGCGAGACCCCGTCTCTACTAAAAA